CCCCGCCCGTGGGTACCCAGCGCAGGAGCGGCACCGGCCCCTCGGCGTGGGGGCGCTGCCGGGTCCTGGGTGCGCGGCTCAGGGGCGACTCCACCCCTGGGCGTGCGGCACATGGGTGGCGCTGGCCCCTCCCCCGGGCGCCCAGTGCCTGAAAGGCCCCGCCCCTGGCAGCCCTAAAAGGTTGGGGACCACTGCCTTAGACCAAGCCCCACAAGCTAAAGTTAACTGACATGGCTCAGCTGCAGATTTTTAAGTGCGGTGCGGATATATCCCAGGACTTTAACCTAAGATTTCTTTAAAGATTATCTTGCCTTGATTATTCAAGGCAGAAGAGACCGAGATCAGAGGAAAGATGTTAGAAAGAAAAATCAGATCAATCCTTGTCAAACTCAAAAAATCACATGGTCAGGATTCATTGCTGTATATGACACTGGAACACAGCAGCACCTATTTTCATAGTCAGAGAAATTCATTATTTATAGGAAAAAGACAGAAGGTCTTTATACTTGATTTCAAGGTCGGGGACTGCCTGTACTTGATTTCAAGCACATCACATCACAGAGCTTTTTCACTTCTTCCTGCACTGCATGTTGGATTTTCAAGCCCTTAGCTACATGGACCATCATCTACTTTTAACATCCTCTTCGGGAAGAAGATATAACAGAGGTCAAGGTTCCAAAGAAGGAAACAGATGATTAAACTGCAAGAAAGCTCCTTAATCTCCTCCTCCTCTGAAATGAAATGAAATCTCGAAATGGGACAGATTAATTCCAGAAAGGGTGGTCTGTCAACTACCAATTTAGTATATCTGGAGAGATGGAGAATCATTGTATGTGGCCAAAGGGAATGACCTGTCAAGCATATCAAGCATTTAGTGTGCTGGTTGATGGGCTATTTTCTTCTCAAGTGCCTGTAACTAAAGTGTATCCCTGAACCCACTCATTTTCTACATATATTTTAATTTTGTAAAAGAAAAAAGCATATGCAAGCAATAATCATTAGCTACAAATTAATAAACAACTGCAAGTTTCCATAATAAAACTAACATAAATAGTGCTGGTGCTCCTACTGCCAGTCACATCTCCTGAAAATGTTAAGGATATGCCTTTTAATCCCAGAGCTATTCATCCATTTAAACGTTTGGGGACATGTTCACATTACCCAGCCTCCAGAAAATCCCATCACCTTTATCCCATCAACTTGAAATGTTGTATGTTATTTTTGTTCACAAACATACATATTAACTTTTCATAAGTAAAAAAAAGACTAAGACATTTAGCACTTCAAAATTTACAAGTCATACGTGCCTGCTGTTCCATGACGACTCTTGCAATAGCAGCTTGGACAACATTGGTCCGATCCAGACAGTCCATGCAGTTAACACGAAAAATTCCTTCTTGTTTACAAATCACACCAGCTTGATCAACCCTTTCAAAAGAAGTACAAAAATTGAAGAGGTAAAATGTTTGAAAGATCTTAAATACAAAATAACTGATCAGTCCACACAAATTTTCCACTTCAAGTTAGAAAACATGTTTCTACTAGACTAAATCATGGAATATTCATTTCAATTTCATTCAACATCCCGGTTACATTCCATCAGAACTGGATGAAGTTTTTCAGACAAAATTCAGGTTGAATGCCCTCATCCATCAGGATTTGACCAGTACTGAACAAGAGAAAGAGAAATCACTCACTTCGTGCAGTAACAATTATTCTTTGAGATGTGTGTCCCTGTGGGTACTCCACAGTTGGTGTCAGACTCATCCCGGCACCGCAGATCAGAGACTTTGAAAGCAGTGATCAGGCGGCGCAAGCAGCACTCCCACCTTTAAAGTAGCATGCACAGCCCGCTTCTCCTCTGTTTCTTCTTTGACGCCCTCGTGGGCTGCTATTATTGCCCGAAGAAGTGGGGAGGAGGGCAGACAATGGAACAACCGTGGGGACACACATCTCGAAGAACAATTGTTACTGCACAAAGTGAGTAACTCCTCTTTCCTCGAGTGATATCCCCGGGGGTGCTCCACTGTTGGTGACCATGTAGTAGTGCCCATTCAGGTGGACAATGGGCTTTGATCAATTGCTACAGATTGATCCATGAGAGAACCGCGTTGGCTACTGCGGTATCTGTTGTGGAGCACGGTGGAATAGCGTAATGCTTTGTGAAGGTGTGATTAAACGACCATGTTGCTGCTCTGCATATTTCCTGGAGTGAGACTCCCTTTAGGAAAGCAGCCAACATCACCATGGCTCTCAGAGTGGACCTTTGGATTCGTTGGTAATGCCCTATTCTGGAGCGAGTGGAATGCAGTAATGCATGATATTATGAGCTTTGATATGCTCTGGGAAGACAGTGGTTTTCCCTTGGACCCTTCGGCCAGGGAAACCATCCATCTTTGGGATGATCGAAAGGACTGAGTCCTATCAAGATAGAAGGCAATTGATCTTCTGACGTCCAGGGTGTGTAATATGGCTTCTTCCCTGGAATTATGTGGTTTTGGATAGAAAGTGGGAAGGACTACCGGTTCATTGATATGGAATTCTGAGCTCACTTTAGGTAAGGACGGGTGTGGCCAGAGGATGACCTTGTGCTTGTGAAAGGTCATGTATGGAGATGAGGCTGTGAGTTCGCTGACCCGCCTTGCAGAAGTGATCGCCAGAAGGAAAACATTTTCATGGTAAGAAAGGTAAGTGGTGCGGTTGCCATTGGTTCAAAGGGTGGTCTTAGAATTGTCCTACACTCACAAGTCCCACATGGGGGGGAATGGGTTATCGAAGTGGGTGAAGGTTCTGTAGGCGCTTCCAGAATCTTTTTGAGATGGGGTATGTGAAGATGGGGAACCCATCAATGGAGCGTGGAAAGCCATAATGGCGGCCATGTGTACCCGGAGCGGTGAAAGTGACAAACGTTGTTGTTTCAGGTGCATGATGTACTCCAGTACTTGGGTAGAGCAGAGCCCTGGCTGTGTGCGCACCACTGTGTAAACCGGTGCCACTTGTATAGGTAAGTCTTGCATGTCATTTGTCTCCTGCTATGCAGGAGAACATTTTTCACTTGTTGGGAGCACTGTTGCTCCACTTGCGAGAACCAAATAGGTACCATGCTATCAGGTGTAGCATTTGTGGCTGGGGGTGAAGTATTGACTCTGGTTCTGGCAGAGCAGATGTGGGCAGTTGATAAAGACATGTGAACCATGTCCATCGAGATCAGGCTGGGGCTATCAAGATCACTCAGGGCCCATCCATCTGTATCTTCCGGAGGACTCTCAGAATGAGAGGAATGGGTATAATAGGTGTCCCCCTCAAGTGAGAAGCATGGCATCGCCCAGGAAGTCACACCCTATACCCACTTGCAAGCAGGACTGGGAGCATTTGGAGTTCTGCATGGTGGCAAAGAGGTGCATCTGTGGTCGCCCCCATTAGTGGGACAGCTTGTGGGTGATCTGAGCATGTAGTTCCCACTCATGTTCTGTGAGGAAACTGAGGGTATCTGCCATAATGTTCTTGTCTCCAGGCAGGAATTCTGCCAAAATGGTAATATTGCAGCAAATGCACCAATTCCAAAGTCTGATCGCCTCTGAGCATAGCGACTGGGATCTTGCAGCCCCTTGGTGGTTGACGTAAAACATAGCTGACGTATTGTCAGTGAGGATCTAGATGGAAGAGCCTTGAATGTAAGGGAGTAAGTGCTTGCATGCATTGTGGACTACTCAAAGCTCGAGCAGGTTTATATGCAGTCTTGACTCGTGTTTGGACCATTTCCCCTGTGCCAACTGTTGTTGGAAGTATGCCCCCTGTTATTTACCAGCCTTGTCCTCTTGGGGAGCCAGGGAGTGACACTCATGGAAAACCATCCCACTCTCCCAGGCCTCCTCCAGAATCAAAGACAAAGCAATGAGAAGGCCAGGGAAGACACACCTAAACTGCCTCAGACAAGAGTGATAGAATTAAGGAAACACCCCAGCCTCATCTGCATAGAAGATAGTACAGAGACATCTCCATTAGCATACAGAATGGAGACCAGCTCTTCCAAAGCAGGAGCCACACTGAACTATGGGATACCGAAAGCAGAGAAGCACGGCCTCATAGGAAATCTCTGCTCCAGATGCTAATGAACCCAGGCCTGCTCACACCCAAATTAGTCATTATCAGAGCCTATTGACATCCAAAATACTGAAACTGCCTAGTTGCATTGTGAGCTCATTCAAGGAACATCATCCACAGCCAGGTATGATCACTATCTATGGTCTCACCTCTGTTTTCCCATAAACAAATCTTTGAACTATTGTCCTATCCCTATAAAAACTTCTACCCTTGCCCAAGAAAAACTGTTCTGATTCCTGGATTTAAACTGCATCAGTTCCATTGAAACTTCTTCATCTCCTGTCTGATCGTGCTAGGGGCTCTGCTCGTGTTCTGCCCTCTGGACCTCCAGCTACCATCACCATCCGGGAACCCCGATCAGTGCAAGCTACACAGAGTGATGAGGTGTCTCTCTCTTTCTTCCCCTCCCCCAGCCCCAAAAGCATAGCCTCCTGACTCTGCCCTATGTAAACTGTTACATTGTTAGCTAGACCTAACATTTGTAATGAGTTTCAATTTAGATTTAATATTGTAATTGTTGTGTGTGTTTGGCTTCCTATCACTACCCAGAAATAAATAAATTTCATTGTTAAGCTGGTTGCTTCTCTCTCTTTCTTTCTCTTTTGCTCACTCTTCCTCAAGGGGTTTTGTTTTGGCTTCCCCATTTGCTCTGCAACAACGCTTCTTGTACCCAAGCTAAAGATCCCTGTAGTGCCCAAAATCCTGTGGGGTTTGCTCACTGTGTGGTTTACCAGTGAATGATTGTGGTATGAAAGTGGGGATAGGGGATGCTGAACCTGGGGGCTTAGAGGGATGGCAGCTTAAAGTGCTGTTTAATCCAGCCCACTGAATCCAAAGGCACATGAGGGTGCAGTGTGGCACTGCTTTTAAACCCAGTCTGCTGAATCCAGACATATGAAGGGGTCAGCCTGTGAGTGCTGATTACCCAGTCCTTTCAGGTATGCTCTATTAGTGGGTATGAGTGTCTGTGTGTCTTGCTAAGGTGGGAAGAACCCCATCCTGAAGAACTTGGTTCCTGCAAGAGAGATCCAATGGAAGGGGGAAATGGCAGCAAGAAGAATTCAGCTCCATATGAGAGCACAAGTAAGCACAAGCAACCTCCCCCCAATTCCATAAGAGTAACCCTAATAAATGAGCATACCCCCAGAGTATTGGGAAAATCAGGTAAAAACCCCATCCCATCAGCGAGGTGTCCATTGTAATTTGTTTGGACGGCTGGCTCTGGTGGAAAGGCACCCTGTTGCAGAGCTTGTGTACTTGTGTCCACCATTATAGAGAGATGAGGACTTTTGAGGGAAGGGAAATGCGCCTGTGAATCTGACAGCTGGCTGGTGTGTACACTGAAGAGATCCAGTGTTGGAAACAAAGGAAGCACAGCCTGGTATGTGGTAGCTGCCATGTGCCCCATAAGTTTGAGGCACATTATGATGGGTATCACCTTGCTGCTGGTAATGGTCATAACAAGATTTCTTATATTGTTGAACCAGTGATTGGGAAAGATAGGCTTGAGCTGTTATAAAGTCTATATGAGCGCCTATGAACTCCAAAGATTGTGTGGGGCATAGTATGGATTTCTGCTTGTTGATAATGAAGCTGAGCGACTGAAGCATGGTCTTCGTGAATGTGATCATGCTTTGATGGTCCGTTGTGAGGAACCTCGGATAAGACAACCGTCTAGATAGGGGAATATTGTGATCCCATTGTGTCTTAGATATGCCATGGCTACCTCAAGGGTTTTGGAAAAGACTCTGGGGGCAGAGGAGAGTCCGAACAGGACAACTCTGTATTGAAAGTGGTCTGAGGCTACCGTAAATCATAGGAAGCGCCTATCCCATTGTGTCTTAGATATGCCATGGCTACCTCAAGGGTTTTGGAAAAGACTCTGGGGGCAGAGGAGAGTCCGAACAGGACAACTCTGTATTGAAAGTGGTCTGAGGCTACCGTAAATCATAGGAAGCGCCTATGTGCAGGGTGTATTGTGATGTGAAAATACGCATATTGAAGGTCGAAGGCTGCATGTGAGCATGAGCATTTTCAAGCATTGCCTTCGAAGATATTTAATTGGCGCAGATCCAATATAGGTCTCCAACTTCCTGTTCTCTTTTTGGTGAGAAAGTAGTTCAAAAAAAAATTTTGTATTTCTGGGGACCTGCTCTGTGGCTCCTATTTTGAAAAGGTGTAAAACCACCTGGCGGAGCACAGTCTGGTAAGGGGGGGGGTCCCTGAAGTGGGAGAGAAAGGGTGCAGAGGCTGGAGGAATTGCCCCAAAGGGGACGATTTCTAGAACTCACTGGTCTGTAGTGATTGCTGCCCACTAATCATAAAAGGGGTGCAAAGTGGTGGTGAAATATATTGTGCTCTCCTGGGACTGTAATTGGGAGAAGGTTGGGCAGACCCTCGACCAAATTTTCAAACGTGCTGCCTCAAGGCCTGGGTCGCAGAAGAGCAGTTGTTTGGGGCTCTCTTTCGATGGTTTCGAGGTCTCAAGGGGTTTTGCTCAAAGGGTCAGTATTGGTGTTGTCTAGTGAAGGTTGTGTCCCTGTCTTTTTCATAGGGTGTGTAACGCTTTCTTCGATAAGTGGGAGTATACATCCCCACTGTGAGAAGGGTATAGCGTGAATCTTTGCTGGAATGTAATGCTACAGCGAACAATTCTGCTTTGTTGAATGGCAGATCCTCTTACTTTGGCCTGGAGGCCCTTAGAGACTCCTGCTGCTTGCAGCCAAGAGACTCCTGCTGCTTGCAGCCAAGATGAACATATCACGGATGTCGTGGTGGACCTAGCTGCAGTGTCTGCGGCATCCAGAGCCATTTGCGGCGCCGTACGGGATATAGTGTGACCCTCCTTAATGATTGCCTCGAGGATAGGTCTTTTATCCTCTGCAAGATTGTGCATGAGTTCTGTTAATTTCACGTAATTGTCAAAATCTTCAGGGCTTGCCAAGCGGCAGCAAGCCCTGCTCGCCAGCCGCGCAACTCGGCGCACTGCGCATGTGCTGACCAGCCGCGCAACTCGGCGCACTGCGCATGTGTTGACCGCGCTGTGTGGCTGTTCCAGCTTGTAATCTACTCGCCACAGGCGAGAAGATTACACTAATTGTCAAGCACTGAAATTTACGATTTGCAAGTAGTGCTGTATAGTTAAGATGGAGGGTTGATGAAGAGTATGCTTTTCTCCCAAACACATCCAGGTGTTTGTGCTCCTTGTCCTGTGTATGTGTTTTGTGTTGTAGGTTCTTAGACCTTTGATTGGCAGTGTCAACCACTAAGGAGTTTGGTTTAGGGTGCAGGTAGAGAAAGTCCATGCCTTTAGATGGAACAAAATACTTCCTATCGGCCCTTTTATTAGTTGGAGGGGCCATGGCAGATGTTTGCCAAACTTCATTGGCTGCCTCAAGGATTGCTTCATCTAGAGGCAGTGCAATTTTGGACTTCACAGAGGGCTGTAGATCCTTTAGGAGTTTGTGTTGTTTCTCCTGGACCTCTGCTAAAACTACCTCCTGACTGGTAGCCACCCTTTTAAATAGGTCCTGGAATTTCTTGATATCATCAATGGGTATTGGGTCATTTGGAATAACTGCTTCCTCAGGAGCGGAAGATGAAGCATCATTTGATGCTATATCAGGTGCACGGCTGGGTCATCCTAGCTCTGTCCTTCCTCTAGATCTGAGCCCTCAGACGGGGAATGTGCTCCATCTGAGTGCATGGAAAGCAGTGACCTTTGTCTGTGGTGCAGTGGAGGTGTGTCATGATGCCCAGTAACAGTAGGGGGACCATCAGCTGCGGTGAGTGTCATAGTATTGCCAGTGTGCCACGGAAGATATTGGTAATGCAGTGGTCTGTATGCCCTATAATGTGCGTGTGCCCTATCTGGGAAGGAGTGTTGTGAGGAGAACATGATTCCTGTATCCCTGTAGTAGGCACTGAATTGCGATAAGGACTGTGACCATAGCAAGCCCCTTGTTCGTAGTGGGGATCGTGAATGGTATTGGGGTAAAGGCTCACGAGGGGACAGGGTCCTAGGCCCCCTGGTGTCATGTCCTGGTTGTGCTTGTGTTTTGCGATCTGAGGAACAGCAATGGGATGCAGGCTTGTGACTTATTGCCACGCTGGTCAGCACTTGGCATGGGTGTAGCTGTGACCCCAGGGGATCTAGAGTTAGTGTGGGGTACTAAGGAGCAGCTAGAGAGTGTAGCTGTGACCGCAGGGGATCTAGAGTTAGTGTGGGGTACTAAGTAGCAGCTAGAGATAGCCTTATCAGTTTTCTGTGCCACAGGCGAATGTTGTGCCATAGGTTGGCAATGTGCTGGAGATCTTGAGTATGCCCACGATGAGCCAGGTGCCCTTAATGCCAGTGGCACCTCTGTCACCACAGGGCCCGTGCTAGGTGCCCTTTTTGTGGCAGCTGATTTTGAGGGCTGTTTCGTGAGCTCATCTTTGAGGCCGTTATTGAGAAGGCTTGAGACTTTGCTGTGCCTGGCTCATCTCCTTTGCTAATTCTTGAAAGTATAGAGCAAGCTGGTGAGGGTCTAGGTTCTGAGCATGTTCTCTGAGGAGAAAGGCTGGGATGTTTGTCCTGAGGAGAAGTTATTGCGAGCCCTTATTGCTCCCTTGACAATTATGGGGGTCCAAGGCTCTATCCATAGACTGTGTGCACACTGTGAGCTCCCCTTCTTTGCAAGCTCTGGTTGTGAGACCACAGCCATGGACACATTTCTGAGGTACGCGTGTCCTCCAAACAGTGTATACATTCGCTGTGGGCATCAGAGGCTGGCATAAATTCTTGGCATTTGCTGAATCTTTTCTCCTTACGAGAGCTTCTGGGAGACATGCCAGATTATCTGTAATTGTACAAGCAGCAGAGACTGCTCATGGGTCACTGGTTTCTGTTTCTTTTGCTTGCCACAATTTGCCACTGTGTGGTGGTAAAAGCTGGCGGCGGCAGCTCTTATTTCCTTTTTTTGGTTTGGTTGTTTTCTGTGTAAAGTGAAGGTAGTCCCGAGTGCCTTAGGACTATCTAATTTGATAAGGTGGTTCTTCTTTCTCCTGCATAGCACACAGAGGAGGAGAGAACACTGAGCTCCATCTGTGGCCGAGGGCGGCAAAGGAGGAACAGAGGAGAAGCGGGCTGCACCCGCTACTTTAAAGGCAGGAGGAAGCCTGCCTGATTACTGCGCAGCCTGCCTGATTACTGCTCTCAGTCTCCGATCTGTGATGCCAGGACAAGCCTGACACCAACTGTGGAGTACCCACAGGGAAATCACTCAAAGAATTTGCCAGACCAGAGAAGGTCTCCTGCCACCAGCCTCAAGCACATGCTACCAGCTGGCTGCTCCAGCAGGCACCCTGCCTTGCCCTCCTCACCAAACCGGCTGGGCTGCTTGCTTACTCAGCTGCTGGCATCTCCCTGGGCATCACAGGCTCCAGCTCTTGCTGCAGGGCTTAGGCCCAGCTTGCCATGGGCTGCTGCAGGACTTCAATCCCGTCTCGCACTCCTAGGGGCTGCCACAGGGCTCCAGTCTCCAGGGGGCTGCTACGGGGCTCTGGCCCCACACTCCTGGGGATTGTCAGAAGGTGCCAGCCCCATGCTACCAGGGGGCTCCAGCTCCAGCCCCAACCCCACATTCCTCAGTCCTGCACTACTGCAGGTGGCTCTAGCCCCAGTCCTGCACTGCCGACTCTGTTTTTCCCCAACCCCAGCTGGCCTTCCTGCCCTTAGGCTCCTGGGCTCTTTGGTCCAGGAGCATCCATGGTCCTGCCAAACCATGGATGTTGCCAGACCAGAGAATACTGATATTCAGAGGCACAACTTATAAGTCTATTGGCTAAAAATGCAATTTTTCTCCTAGAAGCTACCTTCAAATTTGTCAATTTCAAACAAAAAGCCTGGGTGGCAGTAAGAGCGCACACATATAACATACATTCACAAAACAGAGGCGGTGATAGTGGGTGTCCATCTGAACTTTTAGTCCAGGGATTAGGACAACTCTCTGGGATGTGCGAGACCCAGACTCAATTCTCCCCTCTGCCCGATGTGGAATTAGAAGCCTGAACTTTAGTCTCCCACAAAGAGGGAACAATGTTATTAGGAGTTCTTTTTATGGTTGAAAAAAGATAGACCCCCCCTAAGTGGAATACTTCAGAGTTGAACCCAAGATGCTGATTTGCTAACCAGGAACTAATGTTCAAGACAAGATAAGACTGGAAGGAAAAGATAATCACTGGAGAAATGTAAGGCCATAACAATCCATCTAAAAGACACTGTTTAAACTGCTTTTTTCCCCTACTCTTCCATTCCAATATTTCTACAAACATTTCATAACAGTCTGAGCATGCAAATACCTACCAACACCACTTCATATCAAGGATGATATCATGAATGGCATCAGTTAACGTTTGAACATTTTCAAACTTCATCCCTCTGCTAAAATAAAAAAAGTTAAAAGTAAATTTAGTTTCACCTAGAAAAATGATGCAATAGGACACAAGTCAAGTACAAACAAATATATATCTAACTAAATTTGAAAATTTATTCAGAGCAGTTCTCAGGCAATGTACAAAGTTTATGAAAATCTTTTCAAATGCCAGTTGCAAATTCAATCATATAAATATTATACTCAAAACAGCTACATTATAGCCACGCCTATCTTCCCTCCAGCCTCTCAATTTTCTGCATGACTCTGGGCTGCGTTCGCCTATAAGAGAGGATTTGGGGCAGCAATTAGGCTGTGTCTAGACTACATGCCTCTGTCGTCAGAGGCATGTAGATTAGACACATAGGCAAAGTCAAATGAAGCCGCGATTTAAATGATCGCGGCTTCATTTAAATTTACATGGCTGCCGCGCTGAGCCGACAAACAGCTGATCAGCTGTTTGTCGGCTCAGCGCGGCAGCCATGTAAATTTAAATGAAGCCGCGATCATTTAAATCGCGGCTTCATTTGACTTTGCCAAAACAACAAATCTACATGGCTCCGTCGACAGAGCCATGTAGTTTAGACGTACCCTTACAGTATAAGGCTAAAGTATGAAACAGAAGTAAAACAAAAAAGTGACAAAAGATAAAGTCTTTACATTCGTGTCATTTTTCATCATGAGAGCCTGACAAGACAATAGATGTAGAGATCCTTTCACCCATTATCAGAGTGAAGCCATCTCAGTACTGGAATGTAAAAGGTAATCTGTTCCAGCAACATCATAACAGGATCCAACATCCTCCTGCATGTCCAGACCCACTAGAAAAAGATTTCCCACGCCTGATTTACAAGGAGCAATATTTCTGTCTGTGAAAGTCAATGCACTTCACAGACTATTAAGAGAATGGTTTCCCCTCCCCTCAACATTTCTTTCCTGGTAGCAAATACTAGAAGAAGACACATCAGAAAGCCCGCTTACCAGTGCTCATGGAAGTCAAAGGAAACATAAGTGAGGTTTGAATTGTTGTACAGTAACACTTGTTTAAGGTAAGCATCTCCAATAATCTTCTCTCGTCCAGTCTGATCCACCAAATTAATAATCACCTATTCAAAAATTAAATAAGTCAACAGTTGGAAACCTTAGTGAAGATACTTGCAGAATTACACTCTGTAAGGCAATGTACAAATTACAAAATCATGAAACATGATAAAAATGAGACTTAAGTAATTGGGCTCAGCTTATCTAGCAGGTTCTCTCGACATTTTTTCTAAATTTTGTTTTTGAACTCAAGTGATTAGGTTAACTGCTGTAGTTAATCTCATCTCAAATAAAAAACTATTGCTCATTTGACAAACCCAATTAAAAAAAACGTACCCAAAAACTGTAGGTTCAATTACTGTTTTCTGAAATTGCTGTATAATTCAGAAAAATCAAGTGCTATACCTGAAGTTCTAATTTTTTATGGTTCTTTTAAGTACTCCAATTGTTTAAATATACTTTAACTATTTCATACTTCAACTATTTCATACCACATGTTAAGTTTTAGTAATAAATACACTCATAGAAGTAGTGTCAGCCTAAAACTTACTTGTTTCTTGTAAATTTTCAGTTGTTCTTCAAAGTGTGCACAGAAATAGGGTACAGTTTCCTTTTCACCTACAAGGTAGAAGGATACTGTGAAGAACTAATAATTTCATTTGATTCATATTCAAGGCATGAACTCTTATTCAAGTTTGTATTATTAGGTACCTTGAGTTTAAAAAAAAACAAACAAACCTGTGTGTGAATGAAAATAGAATAATACATTCTACAGAATCATATCAACACCAATTCCCTACATCAGATGAACACCCTTCACTTCAGAAATATCTTAAATGTTAATCTTGTAAGCATTTAAACAGGATAGCACAACACCTGCTAAAGAATAATAAAAAAAAAGGGTTCACAATCCCCAACAAAGTAGACTATATTCTTAAAGATGTCATGTCACAGACTAGGAGAAACTATTTGGAATACATTTAACCAACAAGGTAGGATTTCAACCTTAACCCGTATGCCTCACTTGTTAAGAGTGAGGCTTAATGGTTAAACATTCACATCCTTAATTCACACCCCCTCCAGTCCAAACTGCAGGACAATGTAAAAGTGTCCCCACTGACCCAACCAAGATCAAAGCTCCATTCAGTTAGATGCTGTGCAAACATATAGAAAAAAGTAAGACAATCCCCTTTCAAGAGAAAATGCCCAAGACAAAATAAGAAATCCCCTCTCCTGAAGAGATTACAGTCAAACATTCACTGTTACTCCTCAATCAGCAAATAAGCACAGATTGTTCAGAACTATATATAGCTATCAGAAATAGGAGGTGATACATTATCTCACACACACAAACCCAATTTGGCTGAATTACACACTTGTGAATATCTAATCAATTGATTATGAACCCTGTCTATTTTTCTGATCCTATGGCAATACACTTTTCTCTTCTTTATTTTTCCTTTTGTAATAATGAACATCTTGTACTCCTGGGGGAATCCCATGTCAAAAAATTAAAAATTCTTCCAAATTCTGTGTTTTATTGTATTTTGATAAAACAACATAAAACAGTAATTTATTTCAAAATACCTTTGAGCAAGTATATATGTCTGTAAAAATACAGACAACAACAAAGATTCAAGAAATGGTGAGGCTGTTTGGAAGCGGCTGTTCTGTTCTAACATTACATTTTGCCCTGATGGGTAAAAGACAAAATTGCAGCAATTTTCTGTGGAGGAAAATAAACATGCATGGAACATGAATTCTAGAGTAGCACAGAATTCCTCCAGGAGTAAAACTTGGATACAGAGTACTCGCCAAACTCAACCTTTGGCATTTCATTCTGGAGATCCACCCAAATTGGGTACACATGACCTGCACCAACTCTCTCTCTCGGTGCCACTAAGATGACAAAAAATAGAAGAGTTCTGAGTTCGGTACACATGACCTGCACCAACTCTCTCTCTCTGTGCCACTAAGATGACACAAAAAAATAGAAGCGTTCTGAGTTGGAGAGAGAACAATTAACATACTGTGTCAAATTTGACACAGTAGGACCTTCTGGATTCTGTTTAACTTTTTAGATTATTTCTAAATGTCCATCCTAGAACTCACTGTCAGTACTATGTTGTAAATTAAATCCTACCCAATTAGAAGAAGCAATCCTTACAGATCAGGAAGAGGAATCTGATCTCTAAAGTCTTTTGCATTTCTGTTTCCAAAGCAGAACACCAGACTCTCCCCCTTGCCAACCTTGAACAGCATTAGTATGATTGGGGCATGAAAGAGGGATGGAAGTGCATACGGTTATGAGTTCGGAACTCTATTAATCCTCCTCTATTTGGGAGAAATAGGAATTCCCTAACCAAATTCTGAATTTAAATCAAGGACAGAAGTTATTTTAATTTTGACCAACTCATCATCATTACTTTTAGTTGAAAATTAAGTGATAATCAGAGTTCAACAGAATAACTAAGTGTTCAAACTGGTTATTCTTAAGTGATCTGGTATGTTTTACAAGTTCCATGGATTACCAATACTTACTCTTGTCCAGTCGTGGTCGTGGGTTGTACCTGTATCCAACCTGACTCCAAAATACTGGCACAGAGCCCCGTGTTTGAATAAAAGAGAGAGTATGATTATGGACATGAATCAATTGTTCTGTCTCCACATAATTTGCCACATTCCCATTTTTATCAACACCTCTTCGCTTATACCGCATCCCTACAAAATGAAGAAATATATTGATCAGTTTATTCAAGAAAGTTGGGGTTTTTAAAAAAAATAAATAATCCTAGATACAGTTCTTCTGTACACTTCTGCAAAGCATTTTTGGTGGTGAGGAAATAAATGATATGAAGCAACACAAATCAGTCAGACTATCCAAACCGGCAATAACACTGCTGTTAGGTTCCTCTTCTGGCTCCCCTCTCGTGTTTTATTTTAAAATTTGGTAGAGATGGAACGACACTTTGGTTTTTAGTTCTTATTCTCCCCTGCAACTATTCCCAAGGGCTCTTTTTGTCTAAACAGCCTATGCATCTGTACTGCAGCAGGATCTTAGCTGCAAGAAGAGTAATATCATTAGGATATTCCTGGACAAAACAAAGAGATAATGTTACTTTGATAACATCTCTTTCATTCTTCCCTTCCCCTTCTATCTCTAAACACTGTTGCAGTGAGTGTTAACTTCATAGTAGCACAGAAACAAGATTAAGAATTAATTTTTTATTTGTGAACATTGGGCTCTACTACTGGAGCAGCTCTATAGCAGGAGTTTAACTATATGAAAAAGTTTAAGAGCTGTCAGAGTGGTCTGAAGGTAATTTATAAGTCCTGTGATAATTAAATAGTGTGATCTAAAGTAATTAATCAGTTTCAAAAGGCATGTAACCTTGACAGAGCAGAACGAACATGATCACACGGTAGAAAGCAAAACCTAAAAACTAAAAAAAAACCAAAAATACTAGATTGAAAGTCAAACTAAAGATCTTTAACAGATGCTTCAATTTATAAAACAGTAATGAAGAAAGTTCCATGAGTAGCTTCAAGATTTTTAAGATGGGCAGAATGGTTCATTAGCAAATTAAAACAAACATTTTTAATCTATATACCTAGCTCTGCATTTTTTAAACATTTCTTTATACTGCAGATATTATACTTTGTTTTTCTATCCACTGTCCTTTGATCTGATGGCCAAGTGTAATAGTTTGGAAAATGTTATAATGGTTTAAATCTCTATGCCAAAGGCAAGAAAGAGTAATTACATCCATATTAAGTATGAAACTAAATTTGTATGGAAATGTAATTCCACAATATCAGAGTAAGAATCAATCCCTGAAGCAGCACTCAACTGCTGAACTGAAGAGCATTAAACAAACAAATACTGTAGGATGACATAGTGGGGGCATTGGAAGGAAATTAGTTAACTAATTTTAAAACACTATTTTTCCCAAAAGTTTTAAGATACCTAGAATGAGAATAGCAAGAACTAAAAACAAAGCTTAAATCTATTGGTATGTACAGATTTTAAGTAACTAATTTTCAATAGCATTTTAGGTATGCTTCAATTGTTTCTCACTTATCAAACTATGGAGTGTGGTTCAGGATTTATCATGCAGCACTACTACTATTTTCTACACTCTACTTACCAGCTCTGTGTCGACTTCGGCGTGAGACAAGTGCTACCAGAAATCGTGGGTGAATATCATCTACACAAGTTGACTCCTGAGGTGGAGTCTCTGGACTACTTTTCTCATCATCAGATGTATCACTGTAATTAACTACAAGCTCTTCAATCTGTACAAATCCCTGAATGATAGGTATAATCCAAGAGTCCACTTCTGTATTCTGTAAATTACAAAAAATATTTACAACTCTAGCAGTTTTAACAATTATTCTAATCTAGCAGTTTTTGATATTGTTACTTCTTCAGGTGAGCTTGGTGCTACTATAAAAGCCAGAGAAGTCTTTTCAAAACTAAGATTCAATCCCAACAACATTTTGAGAATCCTCTACCTCTTCATTTTGTACCAATACCTTCTTTGCTTTCTCTTGCAATGGCTCTTTTATTTAATCAGATGAACCAGAGGCTAGGGGGAGGATGATTGGGGGATTTTGGCGGGGGGGGGGATAAGGGATTATGAGATAAGAATTACACATTCCATTTATCTTTGTTAACTAGTTGCAATAAATGGAACAAGTTCTGCAGATCAAATGCACAGAGATCAAAATTAATTTCAGAGACAACCACTAATACTAGTTTGAAGAGCTAGACATTTGTGCAAAGTCATGCACTACACAAAGTACTTAACCACACAGAATAAAAGAATAACCAAAAAAAAAAACACAAAGTACTTAACCACACAGAATAAAAGAATAACAAAAAAAACCCATTTAAAATCTTAAATTCTGTATATATGGTTTAGATTAGTTTCCCCTTTATTTCCGTTTATCATTTATATTTAACTTATATTCTAAATGAACACACAAACCAAGAAAAAGTAATCGAGTTAAGAAACACAACTGATTGTAGTTGTATTCTCTAAAACAGTGGCTCCCAAACTGTGGTGAGCAGACCCTAGGAGGGCACAGAGGAATGTTTGGAAAGACACACACACAGCAGGAGGGTGGGGATAAATGCTGCACCCATAGCCCCAGTTCCACCCACACTCTGTCGCCAGCCCAGCTCTCTCCTCTTTCCTTCTTTGCCCACAAATCAGGTCTGCTTCCATCCCCAATTTTGTCCCCAGCTCTGCCTTCAGCCCAAGCTCCTCTGCTGAGCCAACTGTGCAGTAATGGAGGAGGATCACAGGCAGATATTATTGGTAAGGGAGAGGGGGGCAAGAGGAAACGTTTGGACACCACTTCTCTAAAAGGATGTCTCTGTTGAAGTAACCTGTGATTTATGCATCATAAGTCATCAAGTTCCCGATTTCCCTGCAAATTGTGGTATGAGTTTGCCCTAAACTATCCTCTTTTTGGCTCAAAAATAGACACGGTCATATTTGCAGCTAACGGAAATATAACTGAAACCAATTTAGTACATTTTACACCTTGTGATGAAATCTTTACATATTTAGTCCATGATCTTGCAAGTCTCACCATATGAGAAGGCTCCCACATTTGACAGCCACTTTTGTTTTGTTTTTTTAAAACCACACGACAAGGCAAGCAGTAAACTTTGTTTTGAAGTTTCTACTGGTCCCAACTAGTTGGCTTTAACACTTAAATCTTTGTGATATATTGAACTACGTTCATATATGAGCTTGCAAATCTAGAAGACAGTCTTAACAATGCATTTCTAATTCATCATTGTATGTAAGGAAAAGATTAAATGGATCATTTGCTGCTTATTCATTTATGTAACAGCCATACATAGCTCAGAATAGGGATGTTAAATTTAGGTTAATCGACTAATCAATGGATTTTTCACCGACTAGTCGATAAGTGGGGGAGCTGCAGTGGGATTAGCTCTCAGCCCAGGAGATAACTCCGCTGCGGCCAGGAGCTAACCCTGCTGCAGGTCTGCCTTTTAAATGTATTAAGAGCTTGACAGGGCAGGGGGGTAGCTGGGACCAAGCAGGCTTACGCCCAGTTCCAGAAGCTGCGCCTCTGCTTTTTAAATGTATTAATAGCCAACGGGGGCGGGGGGAGACCTGGCACGAGCTGGGAATCAGCTGTTCCGGCTCGCGCTGGGTCCCTCCTACTGCACTTTAGCCTTTTAAATGTATTAAGAGCCGGCTAGCTCTTAATACATTTAAACACAAGAAGCGCAAGCAGGCACTCATTTAAAAATCAGTAGCCTACCTGGTCCCAGGTATCCCCATGCCTCCTTTGCCTCCCCCCGCCACAGAGATGGTGCTGGGGGAACTACCTTTTAAGCTGGCTACCCCCAGCAGCAGCTCCTGCTTACCCCCCTTCCTGCCTCTAGAAAGCAACTAGTCGAGGGACTAGTCAACTATCTAATAAGTCGACTGGTCACTTACACCCCTAGCTCAGAATACTTTGATGCACAGTACCATTTTGTTATATTGAATAGTATTATTATTTATTTGCATTACTATAGCACAAAAAGTACTCATCAAGGACCAGGATGCCACTGTGCTGAGTATTTCACGTCAACAGCCTACATGGGCAGCCAGCCAACCAGGAAAAGAGGCGCCCCTACGCTGCCATGGTGCCTGGAAGTCCTCCTCTCAAGTATTCTACCAGGCAGGCTGCCAAGGTTCTGGGTAGCCCAGCACACAAGCTACCAGGGAAACAGGCAGGTTTCTGTTGGACGTTTAGTTAAAAAAAAAAAAAAATCAATATAATCTCTGCAACGTCCATTGCAACAAACCTGCATTTTCCTTTAGACAATTACATCAGAAAATTTCTGACTGTCTTGACTGAACAATGCTCAGCTTTACTTATGAGTGAATATTTAAAATGCACTTCTTAGAAAACAATTACTCACATCAATATTGATGAGATCCTGGATCATGTGTTTGTTCCAAAAGAATCTATCATCAACCTATAAGAGAATAAAAATGACAGCATTGTAACCATGTTTTTCAGAGCCTCTCAGACACCCATGTGATCCCAAACATGAATTAGCTATCCAGTAACTAATTTCTCACTCTTTTTAATCCAAATTATTACAAACCAATCTCAGACCAAGACATGTTCTTGTTAGTTTTGAATTTTGCTTTCATTATGTAGAATCCTAATGTAGGACCAGTTGATGTTTTATACTAGCTGATGATGTGGCTTTTAAAGTTTCAAAAATCAATACTAGCACAGTATGCTGAAAATACAGACTGAGCAGTCATGTTCTGATAAATACGTACTTTCCTCCACAGTGGCAAGTTAGTCTTCTCACATGAGCTTTGCCTCTGGACAGAGTTCGTTAGATCATAAGTCACACTGTAATAAAAGGAGTCTGAATCCATGAACATTTTGAAGAGTTCTTCTAATAACCTCTTCTCCAGTTTTTCCTTCTCCTTGCTTTCTTTTATCTGAATGTCAGAAGAATACCATTACCTGACTTTTACCTATTAAAATGGTAAAAATATTTGCAGAACACTAATAAAAACAAATTTTCTTAATGGAGTGCCCATGCAGATGGAGACAAGATCAAAATTTAATATAAATAGTTGTCATCAGAGTATAAAAAGGTTCCTCAATATATTGGGCACAAATGTAACTTCCCTTGTCCATTCCATGTACTGTAAAAGCATTTTTGCCAAGAACAATATCCAGAAGACCACGCAAGCAAGGTAGACATGGACACATTTTATTGACAACTTCGGAAATTTTATTGAAACTATCGGTCTAACAAAATATTTTACTAAATTACTCAGGTTTAGTCTATTTAACTTTATTCAAGGTTTCAACCTACTTAATATTGCAATGGAGATTTCTATTTAGTAAATTTTTCCTGCATGACGAAATGACATCATCACGTCATCTGCATCCACAGGCGCCAAGCCCCACCCACTCCCAGCCTGGCTTCCCCAGGGGCCATGTGCAGGAAGGATGTTAAAGACTAGTAGTCGACTGTCCAATACACATTTGCTTATCAGATAGTTTTTTGACTAGTCGATAGGCACTTCCACTGGGGCTCTTGTACATTTCAAAGGAGGAATGTGAACACTGTGTACAGCCTGGGGCCAGCATGAAGACCCACTGACTCCAGGCTGCACACGGGTGTCTTCTCGGAAATGCACTAAGTACCCAGGGCTGCATGCCGCTAGGAGCCCAGGGTCAGCTGCGGCATTTCCCAGGGAGCCCGGGGTCAGCTGGGGACTTACTTCCCAGCTGACCCTGGGCTCCCCGCAGCTGCCCCTTCAAATCCCGCAGATGTGTTGTTCAAAGGGACAGCTGCTGCACAGCTGATCCCGGGCTCCCGCGACATTTCCCCAGAACCTGGCTGATCTGGGGACTCCCCAGCTGACATAAGCATATAAGCGTAGCAGGGAGCCCAGACCATGGCTCTGAAATAGAAGGCACCCGCGTGCAGCCAGAGTCAGCAAGACTTCCTGCTGGCCCCAGGCTGTACGCAGAGCTCCGCATTCCTCGTTTGAAACAGGGTCTCTTGTACATTTCAAAGAAGGAGTGCGTAAGTGCCCATCAACTAGTCAATTAACTGCATTTTAACATCCTTAATGTGTAAAGCTGGGGCTGGCATGCTGCAGCCCTGGCCCTCCCTTCCCCAGCAGGCGGGGGGGGCGGGGCCCCTTCCCAACAGGGGGGGGGGGTCGGGGGAAGACCCAGGGGAAGGGGTCGGCTTGGCCCTCCCCAGCAGCCAGGAGCAGGGGAAGGGGGTTGGGAAGGGGAAAGCCAGAGCTTGGAAGCTGGGGGGGGGACGGACGGAAGGTTGGTGAGCATAGCACCCGGAGGGTAGACACCTAATATTACATGAAAATCAAATGAATGAGTAGGAGGACTAAAATGAAACACTAAGGAGGGAAGTCAACTTGTTTTCTTTGACTTAAACAAGTGTTATAAACCCCTACATAATACTAGGTTTTTATGGGTTTTCTTTACATAGTGTACTATTTTACTCTGGTCATCCACCATAACCTTCAAATCACTTAATCAAAAATGCTTTGAAAAGACACAAACTAAATAGTAAATCCTTACCTTCTTTTTATTTGATGCAGACACATTTGATTTAATTTGAGTAAAGGTCTTGAGTAGAAATTTAGATTCATCTGGAGACTGTGTAATCTTCTCTGTCTTATTTATTCCAAAGTGATGCTTTTTACAGAGCTGAATAATAAAAAGAGTATGTAAATTACAGTTGATACTTACCATATAACAGCAATTATATTTCATTAACATGTCATTAAGATCTCAGGTAAGAAAAAATAAGGCTAATATCTTCATCGGATTAAATACAAGTTCAACAAGTATTTACATTTTTCCAACTACTTCTTGCTGTTTTAACTGCATGTTTTATGGTGGGTTTCTTATTCACTGCAATAACTACTTAAAACAAAAAAGGTAATAAAAAAAATCAAACCATGTTAAGCATTTTGATATGTACAGTACAAGCATGCTCCCACAAAGAATGCCAGTCAATAATGAACTGCCACTAAACAATACAAACATGAATAATAAAAAGATCTGTTAATTGCTATGCTAGACTTTGCAAGTCAGATGGTTACTTTAAATTTCTGAATAAATTTTTTAAAGAGGGTAATGCTAGTTAATAACAGTATCCCCGTAGATAATTCTGCAAGAGTCAAGTCATTCACTCCGGAACTCAATGTTGTTTATTCCTTACCCTACCAGTGCACAATTCCAAAACTGTGTTCAAATTTCTCTTTGATAGCTAAAACAGAATCATTATTTGATACATAAAAGAGAATAACTTTCTTCTGTTAAGTGAATTAATCTTTTCAGAACTGTGTCCCTACAAAAGACTGCAGATTTAAGATGATACAGTTAAAGAACGGAATACATAAACTGAGTGTTTCATTTTCAATTTACACAAAAATACTTTTAATCTAAAAATTCCAGTGTATATTGGTAAGGAAAGGAACTGCACACTTATGGTGCCTCCATCTCCCACTGAACCTTTCTAGGACACATGCTCCCTTCTATCCTCATCTTGGTGTGTGGCATGGCATACCAGCAGTTACTTTTATTTCTCTCTGCCTCCCTAAGGCAAAATGTAAATTTTTCCATAGGCATCAATAAATACCAAAGATTCTTCAGTCCAGCTCTTAAATTCAATTTGCCTTGAACAAACAAAAACGGATCATTTTACAGAAAGAAAAAGTAAAACAGGTCACCTTCTAACTTGCTTAACTGTATCTTTAGATTGGCTATAAACTTAAAAAGGTACATAATTCCAAGATTTAGATTTACAGCATCATCATAATTAGTTGTTTTTCCCCAATCTCCTCCAGGGAACAAGTCTAACAAGTACTTATATGTGCCAGAGAAGCTTCTTTATGGCTAAAGGAAGGGTTTTTTACCTTATATAGCTATTTACAGTATTGAATGTTTATCATGTGCTGTACTGTTAAAATAGCAAAACTTATCAGAAGTCCTGATATTCAATGTTTTTTCTAAAGCTCCACTTTCCCACCTAAAGTCAGGGGATTATGTGAGAATTTCAGCTTTCATTTACAGTGCTCTCCTTATGCACATGGAGAGACTCAACATGAACCCTAACGGCACAAAATACAGAAGCCAAATGAAAATACAACTTCAAAAATCTTGAATTTTTAAACCAAATGATGGTCAGATTTTAGCAATACTGCCAGAGAAAACTGCAAGGGCAGACCAAGGTAAGCCTCATGAGCACTGCAATAAAGAAAAAAAAATAAGGCTCTCCAATTTAGTGATAAGGTACTACACATTAAGCATTTGTTTACCTTTCAGGCAAAGTATCTTCCTTATGATCAAGTGATGTTTTTTAGATTTTATTCCAAATATACCACAGTGTTCCCTGTAAGCTGTGCACTTGTACGGCTGCTCAGGAGAGATTCAAATGCTGCCCAGATGAGAAGCAGAGTGCCCATAGCTAGGTTTTTTGTTTCTACTGATGATGCACATTCACACGTGCCTTGGTACACACAAAAATTTATCCTGCACTTGGATGGAAAACATTACAGGGAACATTGACCACAATATGTAATTTCCCTTCCTAATTTAGAGTATCTTTTCAGAAGTAACAAAATACAGGACAATGTAGCACTTTAAAGATTAACAAGATGGTTTATTAGATGAAGAGCTTTCGTGGGCCAGACCCACTTCCTCAGATCAAATAGTGGAAGAAAATAGTCACAACCATATATACCAAAGGATACAATTAAAAAAAAAAAAAAAAGAACACATATGAAAAGGACAAATCAAATTTCAGAACAGAAGGGGTATGCGGGGGCGAGGGGAGAAGGAAGGTGAATGTCTGTGAGCTAATGGTATTAGAGGTGATCATTGGGGAAGCCATTTTATCCCCTGGCTAATAGCCTTTTATGGACCTAACCTCCATGAAATTATCTAGCTTCTCTTTAAACTCTATTATAGTCCTAGCCTTCACAGCCTCCTCTGGCAAGGAGTTCCACAGGTTGACTACACGCTGTGTGAAGAAGAACTTTCTTTTATTAGTTTTAAACCTGCTACCCATTAATTTCATTTGGTGTCCTCTAGTTCTTCTATCTAGGGAACTAATAAATAACTTTTCTTTAACCTTTATCATATCCCCCCTCAGTCTCCTCTTTTCTAAACTGAAAAGTCCCAGTCGCTTTAACCTCTCCTCATATGGGACCTGTTCCAAACCCCTAATCATTTTAGTTGCCCTTTTCTGAACCCTTTCCAAGGCCAAAATATCTTTTTTGAGGTGAGGAGACCACATCTGTACACAGTATTCAAGATGTGGGCGTACCATAGTTTTATACAGGGGCAGTAAGATATTCTGTGTCTTATTTTCTATCCCTTTCCTAATAATTCCTAGCATCCTATTTGCCTTTTTGACTGCCGCTGCACACTGTGTGGAAGTTTTCAGAGAACTGTCCACGATAACTCCAAGATCTCTTTCCTGATTTGTTGTAGCCAAATTAGCCCCCATCATACTGTATGTATAGTTGGGGTTATTTTTTCCAATGTGCATAACTTTTGCATTTATCCACATTAAATTTCATTTGCCATTTTGTTGCCCAATCACTCAGTTTGGTGAGATCTTCTTGGAGTCCCTCACAGTCTGCTTCTGTCTTGACTATCCTAAACAGTTTTGTATCATCTGCAAACTTTACTACCTCACTGCTTACCCCTTTCTCCAGATCATTTATGAATAAGTTGAAAAGGATTGGTCCCAGGACTGACCCTTGGGGTACACCACTAGTTACCCCTCTCCAATCTGAAAATTTACCATTTATTCCTACCCTTTGTTTCCTGTCCAGTTCTCAATCCAAGAAAGGACCTTCCCTCTTATCCCATGGCCATGTAATTTACACAAGAGCCTTTGGTGAGGGACTCATACTTATAACTTATATACTTTCAGAAGTAGTTCAAGTCTGTGTCCCTGCTTCAAGTTAGCCACACTTAAAAATGGGCAAACATCTTCATTTAGCACCTTTTTCATTATTATATACCACCACTAAATTCCTAGCCCATAAAAACATATATAACCTTGATTTTGTACAAGCAACTGTGGAATCAAGCACGAATGACTTAAGATACAACATCTGTTCAATCTCATTATGAGCATATAATACCACTGCAAAGTAATCAAGCAGATCAGGCATTGGTATTACATGCTGCCTTACTGCTCCATCGAATATGCTTCAGGCCTGATTCAGAGGTCATCTCTACAGAATGAGTGCTCTTTTTCCTTTGAAACAGGAGGAAAGTAGTGTTCTCAGCTTTACTACCTGCAAAGTTTCAGGATCCTGAGGTGCAGGTTACAAAGCTTCAGTAGATCATCTCAGACAGAGTTAGGCACCCCGATCTAAGAGATAAATACTCTCCTCTTGGATCTTACAGTGATAGCAGATAAAAAAAAAATATACTAGGGCAGCAATGTGCTCCTTAGTTTACTGAGAGGGCCTTGTAAGTGGCCCTCCTTTGTCTCAGTGGCCCACAAGATTGAACCTACCCCCTCTGCGGACCTACCCCCTCTGCGGTTCTGCATTTAAAGCATATTAGGAGCCAGGCAGACAGACAGCCCGGCTCACACTGGGCCCCAGAGCTCTGTTTCCCCTAGCCCCTGGACCAGGGCTGCTGCCACCCCGTGTTGCTGCCTCTGTATCAGAGGCAGCAGCACAGGGCAGCAGGCAGCTGGTCTGCACAGGGGGCTGGCTGGTTTGTAAACTGGAGTCCCTTGCAGACCAGCTCCTGCCTGGCAGCGCTGTGTGGCAGGGGGCTCCTCGGGAGTGGGGCTGGAGCACACTGGCTGCCAGCCCTACCCCTGGGGACTATAGAGTAACCGATAAAAATTCATTAGGTTAATCAACTATTCAATTAACCAATATTTAACATCCCTACTTACAGGCATGGGCTCCCACCTCCCTCCCCGTTGCTGCTTCTGATACAGAAGCAGCAAGGGGGAGAAGTGCATGTGGCCGACAGGATTAACCGATAAGCCCAAGCTTATCAGTTATTCATGTAGTCAACTAGTATTAACAGGAGATTTAGAACCAAGACATAAGAACTCATGAACTCACCAACATCACATTCTACAAGCCTCTTTGCTCTGATCCTACTGAGGAATACCCAAGTGAGCTATACCATGTACTCAAGAACCTCCCTGCTTCAGCTCAGGACCAAATCTACACAAACTCATCCCCAGAGCACCGACTAGGAGTACTCTGCTACCCAAGATCCATCAACTTGGAAATCACGGACATCTCATCATCTCAGGCATTGGCATGGGCTATTTTGACTCTCCCCTCAAACCCTATGCTATCAGCTATCTTCAAGACACCACTGACTTCCTGGGGAAACTGCAGAGCATCAGTAATCTTCCTGAAAACATCATCTTGACCATCATGGATGTAGAAGCTCTGTACACACAAGAATGGACTACAAGCTGTCAGGACAACTATACCCAATGACACCAAAGCACATCTGGTGGCTAGGCTATGAGGCTTTGGCCTCACCCACAACTATTTCCAATGTGGGGACAATTTATACCTTCAAGTCAGCGGTAGAGCTATGAGTACCTGCATGGCCCCACAATATGCCAAGGCTTTTATGGCT